GTGAACAACACAGGACTCCTGCCTCCCTCCCTGAACCCTCTGAAACAGGACCTTCATTTTAAGAAAATCCTGGGGTCAGAGAAGCCACAAATGTAGCAAATGCAACTTTAGAGCTCTACTTTAATTATCTTTTCTAAGCCAACAGGATGAAAGACTTTAATGACAAGAGGGAAAGTTATTAAGGGTAGAGGCAGACATGACTGTAAAATATATTGTCTGTGAACGCCGCCTTACACCTCGAAGGCAGGCGCTTGCTATGTGATCTCAGGCACCCAGTACTTTGCTATTTTTGTTGTTGTTGTTTTGTTTCTGTTTTTTTTTTTAAATGCAGACAGGTCATTATGTTCAAAGAGCTCAGTCTTGACACACATGTAGATGTTGAAACGAGAAGAAAATCTGCTAATCACTTCCTGAGTTGTTGCTATCCTTGGAGCTCAAGCTTATGGCTCTTCTCCTATGTGAAGCTTTTTTTCACTTTTACATCCAGTTGGACTCTGTGCTTGAGTGACTTTCAGGTACTTGATATTTAGCACACGCGGGCACACATACCGTAGATAGCAGTTATTTTGTATCTTCGATATTAAAGCTGCAAGAATCTGTCTCCTGTGGTTGCGGTGGCTTTACAGAAGAGGCTTTCAAATATTTGTAACCATGCAAGTATGTTAAAATAAAAAAAAATAGTCCTTCAATGAAAGAAATCCATAAGTCTTGATTTTCCTAAAAGCATTGTTCCAAACTCTCAAGATTAATTCTGAGATTCTAATGGCTTCTCTAGTGTTAACATATCTGTATTGAGGAGCATATCTGTTGATATAAAGATGCTCATACAAAGTAATTTTGTGATTTTAAAATAGATAGTTAATAGTTTCACTGTTATTTCAGATATTATATATATAATAATTTGAAAGTTTTTATGATTTTCTTGGTAACATATGCAGACCATTTTCCCATTTTAACAGTAATTGTAGATACGTTAATAAAATGTGGACTAAAGACATGTAAAATTTTTATCCCCACAGTCATGACTGCATTCAAGACATCAATATGTCAATTTAGTTCTGGCAATGTTTCTAGTCAATGTTGTAAAACGCAGCTTTCCTTTATTCATTTCAGAAGTGATCTCTAGCTGTCCTAGAGATGGCAGCATTGAGCAATCTAATTTGGTAATCACCTGCCCGTTGTGTGAATTTTCTGTTAGGTGGAAATTTTTCATACAGAGTATTTCATTACAATACACAAGACTAATTTAGAACGAGGTGACAGGATAGTACATGCATCTGCCTAACATGACTTCACTTAGATTCCACAAAAGCAGAGGTAAAGGTGGAGCACAGACTGAGGGAATGTCCAATGAATGCCTGGCCCAACCTGAGGCTCACCCATGGGAAACAGCCAACCCCTGACAACATTAAAGATACCCTGCTCTACCTACAGACAGGAACCCAGCATAACTGTCCTCTGAGAGGCTCCACCCAGCAGGGGATCGAAATGCTGAGATTCATCGCCAAGCATTAGGTGGAGCTGGGGAGCCTTGTGGGAGTGTTGGAGGAAGGATAGAAGAACCTGGAGGGGACAGGAATTCCACAAGAAGACCAAGAGAGTCAACTAACCTAGGCTCATGGGGGCTTCCAAAGACCAATCAAAGAGCAGGCATGGAACTGGACCTAGAGCCCATACACATATGTAGCTGATGGACAATTGAATCTTCATGAGGGTGTGCTAGCAAGGAGAGCAGGGACTGTCTCTGACATGGACTCTATTGCCTGCTTTCGGGTAATCACTTTTCCCTAGCAGGATTGCCTTGCCAGGCCTCAACGGATGAGGATGCCCTCAATTCTGATTCAGCTTGATGTGCTGGAATGGGTTGGTACAGGTGGGGTAGAGGAGACCCTTCTTTTCTGAGGAGAAGAGGGACCGATGAAAGAGGGTGGGAGGGTAGGAACCGGAAGGAGGGGGGTTACCATGGGGATGTAAAGTAGATTTAAAAATATAAACTTAGAAAAAGAGTAGAATATTAACTACCTTTAAGATTTAGGTAGTAAAACTTGAGAGAGACAGAGACACAGAGAGAGACAGAGTATAGGATGAATTTTACTGGTGTGTAGTTTGCTACAATGACCTGGCGTGTTTGTCTGTGTGCATGAACGTGCACGCACGCACGCACACACGTGTGTTTCTGGGGATCTAACCCAGCGCCTTGGACACCACAAAGCAGTTTTCTGCTTCATCTTCGGCCATAATAACAATTACTTTCATATCATGAAAACCCTAACGTTCTGTGAAGATGACTTGTAAAAAATTTCCAAGTTAAATTGCTCTTCTGGTTGGCCCCTCTGAGAAAATGGTATGTTTTCCCCATAGAGGTGCATCCTCCTTCCCGTCCCCCCTTTATTTTTTGTTTGTTCTTAGTCGGTGATTGAAGGAAGGAAGGAAGGAACTCATTTAAAAAATGAAAGTCTATGGATTTGAAGTGCGTTCGTGCAGAGTGTGAATTAAGGCCTCCTTCTGTAAAAAGCCCTTTGGCCCAATCTAGACCACACACGCAGTTGGTGGTAAACAGCTGTCTACTTCCTCTGTCTCTCTCCCTCTGTCTAGGACAAAACCTCCAATGATACTCTTCTAAGCATCTCTACCTGGCACTCCCCACCCCCAAGCCCTTCAGACCTTCAGAATCCGATTCCTGCTATTGCTGCCTCAGTACCATTTCCAAATTACTTACTATTTATAGCCTTCCCGTAGTGGGCACGTGTGCCCGCATCACCAAGCTGTCAGAGGGGGAAAGGAGGGCTTTCAATTCAACCTGTGTACCCGATAATACATTCACGGAGGTTTAGAAGACCCTGCGTGATAAAGGAGAAGGTGAAAAGACAAACCGGGGGCTCCCAGGCTTTCGTGAGGAGGCGGCACCTGCAGAAGCAGGACACCCCAATTCAAGTACTGCAAGCCTCCGAATGGCGCCAGTACCTGCGTCTGAATCCTCTCCCTCCCGTTTACCGCATCTGTACAAGACGTGAAAGACAGAAAACTCCGCCAATCAGCAGGCTGCCCCAGGAAACTCACCCCGCCTCTCGCCCCGCATTAGGCTGAGGCGCGCCCCCTCCAGGCCCCCTCCAGGCCAGGCTGTGTAGTGCGTTGAGCATGGCCAGCAGCTCCCTGAGAAGGTCCTGCGGTGCCCGAGAGCTGGAGGCTGAGGGAGTTCCTGGCGTAGGTTAGGAGGTGGAAACCTAGAGCCGCCCTCGGCTAAAGTGGGGTGGCCTTAACGTCTGTAGGTCTTTAATGCCAGTTGGGCTAGACAGGGACATCCTGCTTGGTTTATAGGCCACCTTAAAAAAAAAAAAAAACTTTGGGGAGCGTCTGCTTGTGGTGACACTGAGTAACACGCTTTGCAACTAGGCTGCTGACCCGTTTTCATCTAGAAGTATCCATTTTCCTGTACAGCCCATCTCCTATCCTTGTCTCCTTGTGGTCAAGGTTAAAAATTTATAGGGTCGCTCAATGCGCGTGGAAACTACGAAACAAACATTTGCTAATATGTACACAGTAGGGGTTTGGACTTATGAACTCTCTGAAGGTCCTTAACAGCTTTAAAAAAAAAAAAATCACAAATAGACTTGAGAATATGATAAGGGGGCGCTTGGTTTCCTCCGCCCCCATCCTTTGCTCTAACCCCAAAGTGCGAGTCCCTGTTCACCTGCATTAAGGGAGTGAAACTGTGACATTTACGTTTTATTTCCTCCCTTGGCGATCTGCAGCTAATCTCCGCAGCGCCAGGCAGGAGATCCCAGGTCTTGATTCCTAGAGACCCTGACGCAGCAACAGTCATTGCCCTTGGGCGTCCCTCTCGGAGTCTTCCAGGTGCCTCGCCGCAGCACGTCGGGAGATTCCAGGTAGAAGGCTGGCCCAGAAGTCCTTTAGAGAGCCTTGCAGATACGTCAATCTCCCCATCAGGGCCGCTCACCCAGGAACCGACAACCAGCTAGCTCCCGGGGGTCGCCCTTACCTGTTGGGTGAGAGGTAGCGGGTCACCCGCCTCCCCCTCCCCCCCCCCCCCCCCCCCCCCCCCCGCTCTCACTCTCGGGGCTCTGCAGCCGCAGTGCACCCCCTCCCACCGCCCCCTCCCTCACTCCTGCGTCTTCCCCAGATCGCCCCCTCCCGTTTTCCCAGATTCCCCTCCTGCTTTCCGGTAGCCACCCAAACACGCCCGGCCTCCCTCCGCGGGGATTCCTGCGGGCCGGGGGGCGCCCTGGGTGGTGCAGGCATGGGAGGAGCGGCGCCCGGGGCTCCGGCGGCCGCGCAGGGGCGCTGCCCGAGCGCTGCAGCGGAGGCCCAGCGCGGGCGCCTCTGCGGCACGGCCGGGGGGTGGAGAGGGGCGGGCGCGGGGCGGGCTCAGCCCGGAATGTAGAGCGAGAAGGGAGAGAGACCCGGGCTGGAGCCTCCCGGAGGCAGCTCGGCTGCAGAGCGCAGGGGCTCCGTCACGTGTTTTGCTCCTCCGGAGTGAGACGGCGGCGCGGTGTGGGGAGGCCGGCGCACAGTGCCAGACGCCGCCGCTTGTTTTGGTTGAGGCGCTCGGCAACTCTCCGAGGAGGAGGAGGAGGAGGAGGGCGGAGAGAAGTAACTGCGGCGGCTGCGCCTCCGGAGGACCGGGCGTCTTCCCCGATCTCTTCCCAAACCTCCTCCCCCCTCCCTCGCCTCCCGCCCTCGTCCCCTCCCCTCCTCCCTTGCGGACTAGAGCTAGGGGCAGGGATGAGCCTGTCCCTCTGGACCGGCCCCTGCTCCCCCGGCTGCCCAGTAGCGTTGCGCGTGGAAAAGCCACTCTCCCCGCCCGCCGAGATGGGCTCGAGTGCGGGCTGCAGAGGACGCGTCCTCGGGCGGCGGCAGCAGCAGCAGCAGCAGCCACAGCCGCAGCGCCGCGGTCTCTGCGATTGAGCTGGTATTTGGGCGGCTGGTGGCGGCGGGGACGGTTGGAGGGTGGGAGGAGGCAGAGGAGGAGGAGGAGAAGGAGGAGGAGGGAGAACCCCGTGCAACGTTGGGACTTGGCAGCCCGCCTCCCCCTGCCCAAGGATATTTAATTTGCCTCGGGAATCGCTACTTCCAGAGGGGAACCCGGGAGGGAAGGCGCGCGCTCCTGGAGGGCCAAGCGGGACTCCTCGGCCGTCGCTGCTTCCCTGCACGGGACTCCACCGGGGTCGGCAAGGGATGCACCGTAGCTTCTTCCCGACTGCAGGGACTCGGGGGAGACTTAGTCCTCGGAAGATTGCGGCTGCGCTCACCCTAGACACGCTGCCTTCCCCTTGGGGCATGAAACGCCCTTAAACTCGGATCGGGCTGTCTTCCTTGGCTCAGCTACCTCGTCCTTCGGCTGCCCCTTCCCCAGCGCCGAGAGCAGCGTGGATTTCGGAGTCAGGGTTTCTGCTTCCCCCAGCCCGGAGTGCATGTGCGGGGCCGCCTCGAGGAGCCGCCCCCCACCCAGTTTGTCGGCACCTCCCTCTGCTCCGCGGCAGCATGGCGAGCCCTCCAGATACCGATGGCTTCTCAGACGTGCGCAAGGTGGGCTACCTGCGCAAACCCAAGAGTATGCACAAGCGCTTTTTCGTGCTGCGGGCGGCCAGCGAGGCCGGGGGCCCTGCGCGCCTGGAGTACTACGAGAACGAGAAGAAGTGGCGGCACAGGTCGAGCGCCCCCAAACGCTCCATCCCCCTGGAGAGCTGTTTCAACATCAACAAGCGGGCTGACTCCAAGAACAAGCACCTGGTGGCTCTCTACACCCGAGACGAGCACTTTGCCATTGCGGCCGAGAGTGAGGCCGAGCAAGACAGCTGGTACCAGGCTCTTCTGCAGCTGCACAATCGAGCAAAGGCCCACCATGACGGGGCTGGAGGTGGAGGCTGTGGCGGTAGCTGCAGCGGCAGCTCGGGCGTTGGAGAGGCCGGGGAGGACTTGAGCTATGACACGGGCCCAGGACCCGCGTTCAAGGAGGTCTGGCAGGTTATCCTGAAACCCAAGGGCCTGGGCCAGACAAAGAACCTGATTGGCATCTACCGCCTCTGCCTGACCAGCAAGACCATCAGCTTTGTAAAGCTCAACTCGGAGGCAGCGGCCGTGGTGTTGCAGCTCATGAACATCCGACGCTGTGGCCACTCAGAGAACTTCTTCTTCATCGAGGTGGGGCGTTCCGCCGTGACAGGGCCCGGCGAGTTCTGGATGCAGGTGGATGACTCCGTGGTGGCCCAGAACATGCACGAGACCATTCTGGAGGCCATGCGGGCCATGAGCGACGAGTTTCGCCCGCGCAGCAAAAGCCAGTCTTCGTCCAGTTGCTCCAACCCCATCAGCGTCCCCCTGCGCAGGCACCATCTCAACAACCCCCCGCCCAGCCAGGTGGGGCTGACTCGCCGGTCCCGCACGGAGAGCATCACTGCCACCTCCCCTGCCAGTATGGTGGGGGGGAAGCCCGGCTCCTTCCGGGTGCGCGCCTCCAGCGACGGCGAAGGCACCATGTCCCGGCCGGCCTCGGTGGACGGCAGTCCCGTAAGCCCTATCACCAACAGGACCCATGCCCTCCGCCACCGAGGCAGCTCCAGGCTGCACCCTCCGCTCAACCACAGCCGCTCCATTCCCATGCCCTCTTCTCGCTGCTCACCCTCAGCCACCAGCCCAGTGAGTCTGTCCTCCAGTAGTACCAGTGGCCACGGCTCCACCTCGGACTGCCTCTTCCCGAGGCGCTCCAGTGCTTCCGTGTCCGGCTCTCCTAGCGATGGCGGCTTCATCTCTTCCGATGAGTACGGTTCTAGTCCCTGTGATTTCCGAAGTTCCTTCCGCAGTGTCACCCCAGATTCCCTGGGCCACACCCCACCAGCCAGGGGCGAGGAGGAGCTGAGTAACTATATCTGCATGGGGGGCAAGGGAGCCTCCACCTTGGCTGCTCCCAACGGTCACTACATTTTGTCTAGGGGTGGCAACGGCCATCGCTACCTCCCAGGGGCTAACCTGGGGATAAGCCCGGCGCTGGCTGGAGAGGAAGCCGCCGGTGCAGCAGATCTGGAGAACCGGTTTCGGAAGAGAACTCACTCCGCAGGCACATCCCCTACCATCGCCCATCAGAAGACTCCCTCCCAGTCTTCCGTGGCTTCCATTGAGGAGTACACAGAGATGATGCCCGCGGCCTACCCACCAGGAGGTGGCAGCGGAGGCCGGCTGCCTGGCTACCGGCATTCCGCCTTCGTGCCCACCCACTCTTATCCTGAAGAGGGTCTAGAGATGCACCCCTTGGAACGTCGTGGGGGCCACCACCGGCTGGACACCTCCGCCCTCCACACTGACGATGGCTACATGCCCATGTCCCCAGGCGTGGCGCCAGTGCCCAGCAACCGTAAAGGGAATGGAGACTATATGCCCATGAGCCCCAAGAGTGTCTCCGCCCCGCAGCAGATCATCAACCCCATCAGACGCCACCCTCAGAGGGTGGACCCCAATGGCTACATGATGATGTCTCCCAGCGGAAGTTGCTCCCCTGACATTGGCGGTGGCTCCAGCAGCAGCGGCAGCATCAGCGCAGCCCCTTCCGGGAGCAGCTATGGGAAGCCATGGACAAACGGGGTAGGGGGCCACCATCCTCATGCTCTGCCTCACGCCAAACCCCCTGTTGAGAGCGGTGGTGGCAAGCTCTTGCCTTGCACGGGCGACTACATGAACATGTCACCTGTGGGAGACTCCAACACCAGCAGCCCCTCGGAAGGCTACTACGGCCCGGAAGATCCCCAGCACAAACCAGTCCTCTCCTATTACTCGTTGCCAAGGTCCTTTAAGCACACCCAGCGCCCCGGGGAGCCAGAGGAGGGTGGCAGGCACCACCATCTTCGCCTCTCTTCTAGCTCCGGACGCCTCCTCTACACTGCCACTGCGGAGGATTCCTCCTCTTCTACCAGCAGCGACAGCCTGGGTGGGGGTTACTGTGGGGCTCGGCCGGAGCCCGGCCTCCCACATCCCCACCACCACGTTCTGGGGCTGCCCCGAAAGGTAGACACGGCTGCCCAGACCAACAGCCGCCTGGCTCGGCCCACAAGGCTTTCCTTGGGGGATCCCAAGGCAAGCACCTTACCCAGGGTCCGAGAGCAGCAGCAGCAGCAGCAGCAGCCGCAGCCGCAGCCGCAGCCTTCCCTGCACCCTCCTGAGCCCAAGAGCCCGGGAGAGTATGTGAATATTGAATTCGGGAGTGGCCAGCCTGGCTATTTAGCTGGCCCCGGGACTTCCCATAGCTCTCCTTCAGTCCGGTGTCCACCCCAGCTCCACCCAGCTCCCAGAGAAGAAACTGGCTCGGAAGAGTACATGAACATGGACTTGGGGCCAGGCCGGAGGGCGACCTGGCAGGAGAGTAGTGGAGTTGAGTTGGGCAGAGTAGGCCCTGCACCTCCAGGGGCTGCTACCATTTGCAGGCCAACCCGGTCGGTGCCAAATAGCCGTGGTGACTACATGACCATGCAGATAGGCTGTCCTGGTCAAAGCTATGTGGATACCTCACCAGTGGCCCCGGTCAGCTATGCTGACATGCGGACAGGCATCTCTGCCGAGAAGGTGAGCCTGCCCAGAACCGCAGGGGCTGCTCCCCCTCCACCCACCACAACCTCTGCTTCTGCTGCGCCTCAGGGAGCAGCTGAGCAGGCTGCTCACTCTTCCCTGCTGGGAGGCCCTCAGGGACCTGGGGGCACGAGTGCATTCACCAGGGTGAACCTCAGTCCCAACCATAACCAGAGTGCCAAAGTCATTCGTGCAGACACTCAAGGGTGCCGGAGGAGGCATAGCTCGGAGACCTTCTCAGCACCGAATCGGGCTGGCAACACGGTGTCCTTTGGAGCAGGGGCTGCAGTAGGGGGCAGTGGTGGTGGCAGCGGCAGCAGCGGCGGCAGCGAGGATGTAAAGCGCCACAGCTCTGCATCATTTGAGAACGTGTGGCTGAGACCTGGGGACCTAGGGGGAGCTTCCAAGGAGATGGCTCTGGGGTGTGGAGCTGCTGGGGGTTTGGAGAACAGTCTTAACTATATAGACCTAGATTTGGCCAAGGACGTTAAACAGCGCCCTCAGGAGTGCCCCTCTCAACAGCAGTCCCTGCCACCCCCTCCCCCTCACCAGCCCTTAGGCAGTAATGAGGGCAGCTCCCCGAGACGCTCCAGTGAGGATTTAAGCACCTATGCCAGCATCAGCTTCCAGAAGCAGCCAGAGGACCGTCAGTAGCTCAACTGGACATCACAGCAGGTGCGTTTTATGGTGGCAGAGTCAGAAGACAAAGGCGCTTTTACCCGGGGTGCTTGAGTTCTCTTCTTTACCTGCATCCCTTCTCACTCCTTCCCACAGTGCCCCTGGGGAGGATCCACTTTCAGGAGGTGGGGGGTTGGGTGGGTCAGGGTACGCAGATGCTCACCCCACAATGACACCTGGCAGATAGTCAAAGAATGTGTCGGAGTAAGCCACAGAGGGGCTTCTGTATTTGAGAATTCCCAAGTGGAGTACTTGCTGCCGCATTTTAAAACTTACACTCTATAAAACCAGTTCTGAGGTTTGTCAAGTTCCTCAGTAAGAATCATTCTCTTCATAGCAACGTTTTCTTTTGACTAAATATTAAGGTCAGCAGCTAGTAGAGACAGTTCTACAAGAATACTGGCCAAAAAGCCCTCGTTTAAGATCCTTTTCTCAGGGTTCTAAAGGGCAAGCTTACCGAGAGGCTGTGTGCACTTTTGGTCGGTGGGTTCACAATACCAAAGCAGTGTAAACAGCAGCGACTTTCATTTGGGCTGTCTTAAAAGATTCATGAGTAAGAGCTTTTTAGGCATGAGTATTTAGAGAGAAAGTCTTACCTATCTATCTCTGATCTCCAAAGAAAGTAGTTGTGGGGGACGGACATTTTCTTTTTGTTCTTGTACCAGGATTCAGGAAATGTTTTTCACACTCAGACCTACCATCTTGCAGGCATGGCTGCTTTTGTACAGAATATGCAATAAACACCATGCGCCTGGGACCCATTATGAGTTAAGAGTTACGGAAGATCACCCCAGCCTGTCTGCCTTGTTGCTCCTTTTCTTGGTCTGAGGCATCACACATGCCATTTGGGGGCTACTGTACATTTTTCTGTAACATTTCTTAACATTTTTATTAGTGGAATGAACAGGCATTGAGTCAGGGAAAAAAGGGTGTTTGTTTTGGTGTGTGTTGAATGAAGAGGCAAAACTGTGTAGTCTCCATTTGCAGGGTATTTGTTTTCCTTTAAGTTCATGAGCAGATGCCTCAGGGACGTTGAAAGACGGCTTTAGGTCATTTGTGGCCACGGCTGTATTGAAAATGAGAAACATTTGTAATAGGAAGTTAGCCTGCCCTTGGTTCTGTGAGTCTATTTTCTGGTGGTCATTGTGGTTAGAGGAGAGGAGTATCGTTCCCAGTTAATGTGATGAGTTGGCAAATCAGAACTTTCCAGATTTGGAAGCAGTTTATTATGACAAACTGATTACCTTGTGAATTTTATATGTGCTTCACAGGAAGAGCACTGAAAAACATTTATTATTCTTAATAAGTCTCTTCATAAGAAATTAATTTGTGCCTTGGGCTTTTATCAGTAGGAGATAATAATAAATAACAGGAATAGTTATGTGGTCAAAATAGTCCTGATTCTGCTTCCAACAACTATCATTCTCTATTTTCTAGGACCAAATAGAGGCACATGAACATTAAAACTAAGATTTTATATGATATGTTTGGAAAGCACCATGTGATTGGTATTTATTACAATATTTGCCTTCATCACTGGGACAGAGAGGTTTTATTGTATTGTTGCCAACATAAAATCCTTGGTTATTTCTATCATGGTTTTTGAGGGTTAGGGCTCCTACAATAATTGCCTTTAAATTCCCTAGATCATAAAGTAGGAAGAACGTGAAACAAACAGATCCAGTAAAACTAAAATTGGCGTTTCACAGGAGATAAAGAAAGAAGAGAAATGAATTCCCCACACTTTATATACTTTCTCACTTCATATAGATTTTATTTTACAAAACAGAATAAGCAATGTTTTGTCTTTTGAAGAAACAAAATGACCAAACAGAATCTTCATTGTTTGAAGAGGGAATTTAAAAGAAAATCCTGCTTATGTATAGAACACAGACACACACACACACAAACACAAACATACACACATACACCCCCCCCAAAAAAAAATCTCTCCGCTCCCAGAGAACTTTAATACTCAACTTTTCATTCTTAACTTTCTTAGGGAAAATATGATAATCCAGAAAAATCAGTCATGTCTATTACAATACTAGAATAGCAATAGATCATGCTTTGCCAAATGCTAGAAGCAGCTTTCTATAATGTGTGTCTAAATTTTAAGTGTGTTTGTGTGTGTGTGTGCTTTAGGCAGAAAACCTAGTGTACACCTAGAGTACCTAGTGCTACACCCTCAGTTGTGCTTGCTTTTGCTAAGTTTTAAGGTTTTGTTTGCTAGTCAGTTATCATCAGAAGCTGAGCGGGATCAGATCTGCCAGTGGCTAACAGCTTCTGCTCACAGTGAGTTATCAGTTAGCTATTTTAACCTCCCCTGCCATTGCTGTCGCTGCTACTTCGCCTGGCTTAAAAAAAAAAAAAAAAGAAAGAAAGAAAGAAAGAAACATGGTTAAAGGAATACAGCTGCCACAAGGAGTGTGTGTGTGAGCGTTCTCAGAGCCCCTGTTTTAAACATCTCAGCTTGTTTACTTTGTTTCAATGTCAGTTCAAGGGGAGCCATTTGTGAAGCCTTTAGCTCCCGTGCCTGACTTGACCGATTCAACAACAATCTTTTCTGTGTCATTTTCCTCTGATGCACGTCAGGGTCACCTCCAACTTAGTTCTGACCTGCCAGATTGTGCTGCGGAAAAATCACCCCCACCCTCCCCCCTACCCCCCATTCTCTTTGTCCCCACCTCCTAGTGAATGGTCCTGGCGTTAGTACAGTCATTGTGGCCTACTGTTTGTACCAGATTAACCCCTGACCGTCCAAATACCTTTAACCAGCATTTGCCTTAGATTTGACTTGGAAACTGCAGCTTGACAGACAGAGCACACTTTTGCTGACACAGGCTGGTGTCATCCCTCCGGGATTTTTTTTTTTTTTCTTCCTTTTGTTAAGTCCCCTTTAAAAAAGAATTTTTACCATTCGTTTCCCTCCCTGTTTTTCCTTACTGCGACCTCCAGGATTCCATGCCTCCGCAGCTGCCCCCCCCC